GCCCCGGCTCTCTTTCTCTGGGTGCTGCCCCGGCTCTCTTTCTCTGGGTGCTGCCCTGGCTCTCTGCTGGCTGCCCAGCTGCCTGCCTGCCCCCTGTCAGGCTCCCAACAGCCCGGGGTGTGCAGAGCTGCTCAGGACACCAGGTAGCTGGGGCTGGGGCATGCTCAGACTGCCCTCACAAAGGAGGGCTTGAGGCAGCCTGGGTCTGCAGCAGAGCATGTGCTTGTAGGTAAATAACTGAGTGGAGAGCAAACTCGTAGGTGGGAATGGGTTCAGACCTGTTCCCATGCGTCAGTGGAGGCATGTTCACATCCAGCTTGCTGCTTGCTAGTATCTGTGGCAGAAGTTGCTCTTCACAGGGTAATTTTGATTTACTGTTTTCTCCTCAGTGTGTAAATTTACTGCCTTCATAACATTTAACTTGAACATCTTGTGCTGTAACATAAAGGGGGTGTATAATTTACAACGTGATTCTCTGTTTTCTTCTTAATTTTTTCTTTGAGGGTCAAACACATTTTGCAAGGAAGGTGGAAAATCGGTGTGCAGAACTTCACAGAACTTCCAACCATAAGCTTAGCTAAGAGGAGTAAGAATATCATATGGTTGGGACTTGCTGTTTACACTACTGTCTCTCTGGCACTGGAGTCTGAGACCGGACTGAAGATCAAAGCTGAAGAGGAGGGAGGGGATTTTCCCAGGTCACTTTAAGTTGCTTATAATGATCACATAACCTCTTACCTGTGGAAGGGTCAGCAGGGGCATCATTGGCCCTGTTTGGCTGGGACATCTGAAGGGGAAATGATATTTCACCAGTTGACATTTGTTGCCAAGCATTTTCGCAAATATTAATCCAGTGCAGTGGTTACCTTAAGTTTTTTTTTTAATTAGGAAGCAGCCAATTAAGCTGCTGTTCTTAGTACATATACAAAATAGCACTTTCAAATGCTGATCTAGGAATTAATCCTGGAGTCAATCTTCATTTGCTTTTTGATCAGTGATTGGGACAATACTAGCTAGTTAAAAGAAGAGAAGTAATTATTTCTGACATCTTAGTATACAGAGGTACTGTTCTGTTCTTCTACAGTGCTGACACAATACAAATGACAGTAGATGCTTACACAATATTTAACCAAGGAAACCATATTAAATACATCTGAATGCTGAAGTTAAATATTGCAATGTATCTATAGCTTGAGAATGTCTCAAACATCAAAGATTATTTCTTTTATATATATCTATTTATAGCTATATATTTTTATATATAGATCTGATAATTTTCCTGATTTAAGGAAGCAATGGTATATTCTATAATAATGCATTTAAGTAGTTCTATGAAGTATATTTTTGGGTTTTTATGCTTTTTAAAAATATTTGTGGGAAATCTTGATTCCCAGGATGGCTTGTTAAATTAATATTTTCCTTCTAGCTACATAAAAGATTTAATATCCTGAAAAAATGGCAATCAGTGCTGTCAGTGAAGTAACAATTCAATTTCCATTAACTCTGTGGAAGCAGTGAATGAACAAGGACCACGGGGCCAAGGGTCAGATTAAATTGTAGGAGGTCTGGGCAGCCTTGTCATGACCTGTTCTTAATTTTACAGCCTGCTTCTAGCTGCTTCAAGTCAGTTAAAACAACCTTGGGTGCTATGCACATGAAGTACTCTTCTTAGGAAAACAGCATGGCCTGCCATGAAGCTGCTAAATAATTGCTAATTCTGATCAACTCTGTCAGCTTCTGCAGAAGTGCTGTGAGCTTCAGGTTTTCCTCATTTTGATTTTTTACAAATGTGCTGAAACCTGTCCTTTTTTGAGACTTGTTATATTGATTTAAAAAAAAAAAAGTAACAGACTTAGTACGTGAGTAACACAAGATTAGTAGAAATAATATTTTATCACAAGTGAACAAAAAAAAGTCTCTGAAATCAGGGGTATAAAAAGTCTGTCCCAGGGTAAGTAATTACTTACTTGAACTAGTCCTCAGTAGGCACTTATTGTATGTATTTAGTCCCTGTGTCA